GGGGGGCGGGCATGTGCTCCACGGGCAGGCCCGCGCATGCGCCTTGTGCTTGGGGGCGGCACCGCGCGCCCGGGCCCCGGGCACCAAAAGGCCTCAGTCCGGCCCTGCAGACACACACAAAAATGTTCTATCATTGCAACACATTTGTTTAAACAACTTAATCGTAGCTGGGCAAGCGATGAAATTTTTGGATGTAAAAAGTACAAAAATAATAAAGCACTGTAAAACAAAACAAAAATTCAGTTTTCTCCAAATATTAGTTGTCTTGATGTACCCCCATCCTTCTCTCACGTACCCCTAAGGGTATTTAATTAATTAATTAATTTATTTATTTAAATATTTTAATCCCACCTTTCTATTTAAAATATTCAGTACTCGTACCACTGGTTGAGAAACACTGATCTATTCCTTTCCTAATGATTCCCAGTATTCTGCTAGCTTTTTAGTTTTTCGACTGCCAGTGTACACTGAGCAGATGTTTTCAAGGAACTGTCCACAAGAATTCCAAGATCTATTTCTTGAGTGGTAACAGCTATTTTAGACGCCATCATTTTTGTGCATATAGTTAGGATTATATTGTCCCATGGGCATTGCTTTGCACTTATCAACAGTGAATTCTATCTGACTACGTGCTACCCAATCACCCAGTTTTGTGAGATCCCTTTGTAACTCTTTGCAGTCAGCTTTGGATTAGTCCCTGTTCACCCCTTTTTCAAGAACATTTATGAGAAGTTTAACAGCAGTGATCCAAATGCAGATCCTAGCAGCACAACACTCATTCCTACTCCCCAACTCAGCTCCCTGCCCATCTTTTAAGTGAAAACCCAGCAATGTTTTCATGGTGATCTAACAATCCTTCAGTTACTGGACTGCCCAGGCCTTTGTTACTCTTAATCACCTGCCTCTCTCTGTTTATAACAAACTCCCTGGCCCAAAGGCAAAGCTGCAAGCAGCTCAAACTGTTTAAGGGCTGCCTCTGGAGTCAGGGCTTGGGCTTTAAGCAGACGTAGGGTTACCAGGTAGACCCCTCCCAAAATACTTTTATTGTGTACCGGCCCCCACTTCACCCGGCTTTTGCACATGACCACAGGGCTCCCAGCGCCAATCATGGCCCCGCCTCCCAGTTGCCCGCCAGGCTTCTGTCCTGTGCCCAGCTGGAAATTCAGAAAATATGGGACATTGCACCCGTCTGGTATTTTCTGAATTTTTCTACCGGCGAGAGGGCACAAATACCGGACTGTGGGTGGAAAACCAGCCACCTGGCAACCCCAACCAG